GCGGCACGCGCCGGCGCCGGCGCCGCTGCCGGCGCCCCAGCAGCGCCGCCGCCGCCGCCGCCCTTGCCGCCGCGCGCGGCCGCAGCGGCCGCCTGGACAGCTTCCTCCAGCTTCTTCTTCTTGGCGTCGTCCAGCTTTGCGGTCGCCTTGTCCAGGGCGGACAGGGAGCCGGCCTGGTGGAAGCCGGACAGGCGGGTGGGCGGCGAGGTGGACCACGGCAAGGGGTCAAGACACCGCTGAAGGCCTATTATACGCCCAACTCTAATACAATGTTGTTTGGTCCCGCCATTCAAAAGAGGCTGGCCGAGGTTAGGAGTGCAAGTGCATGAGGACGAAAAGCAAGCGCCGCGCCCCGCTCGCGCAAATCAAGGTGCCAGGCCGTGCGGACGCGGCACGGCGCAGCGCCGAGCGCCGAGGGCGCAGTGTGCACCTTGAGCGCCGCGGCGGCCAGGAACGCGTAAGCGGCCTCCCTGATCGCGGGCGCGCCGTCCTCCGTGCACTTCGCCGCCGCCGGCAGCACGCCTGGCTGCAGCTTTGAGACGCCCGCTTTGGTCTCCCGCGGCATGCATTCCGCCAGCCACATAAGGGTGCTCTCCTTGACCTGCCGCGAGGGCCGCGAGGGGATGGCGGGCGGTTCTTGCTGGCAGTTGATGGGGTGGACCAGGAAACGGCCAGGCCGGCAGGCAACCAGTTGAGGTGTGTGGTGTCTGAGGCGGTCCAAGCACGGCCACGCGATGCCTGAAAGCTGCCCATTGGCGCAGCCGTTTCGGCCGTGGGGTGCACACAGCGAGGGGCCGGGCCGGCAGAGGGGCCACCTAAAGGCAGTATCAGGCGCGGCGTCCGCCACAGCACGGCGCGAGAGCGAGAGACAGAAGCCCGCTGGTCAGACCTTGGGGTTCTGGTGCGCGAGCGCGGCCGCGATGTCCTCGGCGACGTCCCCCAGGGTGAAGCAGTAGCGGTGCATGCTGGTCAGCGCCTCCCCGGCGGCGCGCGTCACCACCGCGGCCTTGTCCTTGTACTTCTCAAGGAGGACTGGAGGTGTGGGTTTGTTGCGTCGGCGCGATGGGGGCGGGGTGATCAGGTTTTGGGGGTTTTGGGGTGTTGGGGTTTGGGGGGATGTTCTCGAAAATTGGAAGGCCAGGGGCCGGGCCTAGGGGCTGGGAGCAACGCATCCAGGCGGCAGCTACGAATAACGGGCACCAAGCTGCCAATAAGCCCGTTGTCGCAGCGCTGCGTCGCGCGCGTTGCAGAATGCGTCCGGCGGACATGTGATCGGCCGCGACGCATACACAGCGGCCCCAAGGAGAGCGAGCCAGGCGGCGGCCGGCTCGCACGCGTGTGCTTGATTATGACGCGAGCACACAAGAGCAGCGAGCGCACCAGAGCAAAGTGAGGCAGCGACGCCGCGGTAGTCCTTGCGCAGGCCCTTCGCCAGCGTGCCCGTGCACAAGATCGCATCGGACACAACCTGCGACGGGGCCGCCGGTCAAACACGAGCACGCCCCGGTCAAACGAAAGTCGCAACCGTGTGATCTTTGGATGCCTTGTGTCCAAAGCGCCTTGCACGGAGCCGAGGTCGGCTGCCCGCGAACTGGGGTGGCCCTGTCACGACGGGCCTCCGCCGGTCGATCTCCTTGAAGCATCATGTGCCTGTTACTCTGTGCGGGCTGCAACCCGCTCTCTGCCAGAGCCCTCCACAAGCCATGAAGGCCTTGCGGCCTGCTCCCACGCAACAGCTGCTCGCTACACCCTCGCCGCGGCAAGCGTGCCAACCCACCGCATCCGGCAGCCCGGACCCCCACCCGCCGCCCAGCTCGCCTCGTCCGGCCCCCTGCTCCCTCCAACCCACCCCACCTCACCCAGTTTCCATCCAACCCCACCTGCTGGTGGCTGTCCTTTGTGATGATCTTCTTCAGCTCCCGGTTGACGTCCCCAAAGTCCCCGTCCACCTGAAAGGGTGATGATTGTGATGATTAAAGCGCATCCTACATTCCACAATCCTGTACCGGGAGGGTCAAGAGCATGCGGCCGCACAGCCGTCGCCCTTCATCTTGAACGCGCGGCTGGCCCGGGGAGCCGCGCCGCGCCGCGCCCAGGTGTGCCCACCCACCAGGCGCGGGTAGGAGGCGAGGTCCTTGAGCTGAGTCAGCGCCGCCTTGCGCTCGTTCCACTTTGCGGCGGCCAATCCCTCCCAGAAGTCCTGAGGGTGGGGAGTTCAACCGCGCAAGGAGAAACTACAGAGGCCGTGCGCCCACGGCGACAGCAGGCGGCTGCGGCGCCCGCCTTGCTGCTTCCCAACGGCTTTCTGCTTGGAGCGTCAGCTTGCTCCTAAGTCGCTGCTCAGGTGGAAAAGCCCACCCCCTGGAACCACCCCCGTGGTCCAGAACGCACTGCACCTTCTTGAGGCTCGGGATGATGTCTCTGGGCTCAGCAAACTCGTACGAGTCGACGGGCTCCTGTGGGCGGCCGCACCACCAGGGCGCCATCGCAGGGTTCGAACGGCTCAACCTGTGACGTCCTGCAACTCATGAAATGCTGTGTTCCCGCAGCTGCTTGCGAGCCCCCGCCAGCGCAGTCTGCTGCACACTGCTGCGCAGGGAAACGGGAAACGAGAGCGCAAGCAGCGCCGCCGCACCTGGTCATCTGCGGCCGCCGGGCCGCTGGCGCCTCCAGCAGCCCCGCCGGCCCCGGCTGCCTCGCCGCCCTCCGCGGGCGGCCCCGCCGCGGCCTTGGCGGCCTGCTTGGCCGCCTCCTTCCTTGTCAGGCGCTCGGGCTGCAGGGCATTGTGGTTTGCATGTGCGTGTACAAACTGCAATCGGGCACTGCTGAGTCAGCGCCACGCCCCACACAGCCCTCCGCATTACTCCTGGCTAGGAAGTTGCCCTGGTGGCGCACCCCGCCCCCCTCGTGCAGCTGCAGTTCTCCTCTCACAGGCTGTGCTATAGTCTGCAAAGAAGCCGAGCGCACACAGCGCGCCCGTCCGCCTGCCCCTTCGCCCCACCTGCGGCCTGCCAGGGGGCGCCTCCGCGATGAGCTTGTCCACCTCGTCCTTCTGCGCGTCCCTCAGCTTGTCAAACAGGCACGAGCGCACCAGCTCGGGGCCCATCCAGCGCGCCAGCTCCACCTGCAAAGCGAGACGGCGGCGGGGCAGCCCCGCTAGGCGTGAGTGCACAGACGGCAGGCGGAAGCCGGCGCCAGCGTTTGCGTCACCAGCCGGCGCATGCAAACGGCGTCCATCCAGGTTGCTGCTGGGTCAGGACGAGCGCCGACCCGAAAAGCTCACCACAATGAGCTTGGTCAGCTCGCGCGCCTTGGCGTCCTTCGACTCAAACATGGGCGGGAGCGCCTTGAGGATTACCTGCGCCGGCAGAGCGCGTGCACCAAACGCGCGGACGGCCTGGAGCAGGGCGTCCACCGCGCCGACGACCACCTTTGGGACCTTGTTGCCAAAGCCCTCGATAAGGGCGGCCTGGGGGGCGCGGGCACGGTGGCACACGCGGGCGGCGTGGGTGACGGATGCGAGGCGGTGGGATGGCGAGAGCCCGGCCGCCGCCACTGCATGGAGCGTGCGTGGAAGCTCGGCGCCACGCGGCGCTTGTCCGCATGAGAAATGCAGCGCTGCCGTGCAAGAGCTGTGGACGCTGGCGTTGGCAGCAGCGTGCTGCATCGAGGTATACCGGGCAGCCCAGGCTGCCGGTTGGGAACCGCGGTGTGGCGCCAAGGGGCGAGGGGGTCAGGCTCTCACCACGACCTTGTCGCCGCACTCCACCTCGATGAACGCCATCAGGCAATCCGCGCCCTTGGCGGCCGTCCCGGCGCGCGCGCCCAGGCACTTTGTGACGATGTTGAGAGAGCACCCGCTGACCATTCGCGCGGCGAGCTGCTCGTTGGTGCGCCCCAGCAACACCACGAGCGCCTCCAGGGCCTTGTCCAGAGCGGCAGCATTGCCGTCCGCGCACGCCTTGGGCATGAGCGAGGCTGCGGCGCGCATATGTTGTTCAGCCGTGTGAGCATGGTCCGTGGCGGTGTTGGCGCGACCAGGGGCGGCGACTGCGGTTGATGCGGCGCTCACCATACTCCAGAAGCACGGGGTCGTCATCATTGAACACACGCTCCACGCCCTTCTTGATGTCCTCGAACGCTGCGCTGCGGACTTTCCAATTGGCGTGCGTGGCCCGCTCATCTATAGGCAGCTTGGCTGCCTCCTTAACGGCATCATCGTCCGCCATGATGCTCTTTGATCCTTATGTTTGATCCCTACGCTGCCAGAGGCCCAGTAGGCCGTTCCCCGCTGCAAGGGGCAACGATATGTGTCTCAGATCACCGACATGGGTGTGTCAGAGCCATTGCAAGTACCAGCTATGTCAAGAGCAGTATCGTCTGGTATTCCGCGATCATCAGTGACCTCTACCAAGCACCGGGTTTCAAACTCTGTTGAGAAGCTGCTCGTGCGCTCGCTCGCCCCTCGATGTGTCTACCAGTGCTTCATGACGAACTACCATATTAAGCTTCACCAATTCTTAGACACCTTACTTCCTGGGCCCGTCAATTCGCTGCAAAGCAAAGCCATCCACCCACATGACATCCAACACAGGTCCGACCTGTTCCAGGTGCACCGAATCGGTGCACCTGGAAGCCGTCACTTGCCCGCAGCTGCATGCCCTGCCTTTGCAGATGTGTTGTATGTCCAGTGATACTCTCATGCATGAGTTGACGACCAGAGTCTGGCACAAAGGCAAGGTTGAATTTACGGTTACAAGCCGCTCACAACACACGAGAACAACAGTGGGGCCAGCAGGCGAGGGGGGAAAAGGTGGGGCGAAAACACGTGTGCCCGCGTAAGTTGTGGCCCCGATACCGGCAAGGTAACAGGGCTCCTCCCAAGACCACGCAGGTGGCGGAGCACCTCCTCAAAACATGCGCGACTCAACCAAGTCCTGTCCTCAATCCCAAGTGCTTGCATGAAACACATAATGCACGGCTCCACCCATGCGCCCAGGGTTCCCCACAGGCGCCCCCAGCCAGCGTCTGTTTGACCCTCATCGCCATGCGCGTCTCGAACCCGCATCTCAGTCAACCTGCCCCGGATAGGTCAGATCAGATCAGATCAAGTCAGATCAGATCTTCTGGTAGACGAGGACGTAGGTCTTCTCTGACAGCACCTGGTGCAGGTTCACCGGCGAGACGTTGGCGTCATTGAAGTGAAGCCACCGCCCGTCGGGCTGCTGCACATGGGCAGAGTAGTGGCCGCCTGGACAGGTGGAGGGAGTCGCATTGCGGCGGGGGCAGTGTGAGCAGGCGTTGGGAGGTGAAGGGGAGCTGAAGCACAACCCCGTCAAAACGCAAAGTGCCGTTTTTACGGGAGTGCCTTTTTTGTTGCATACACGGGACAACTGGTGGGGTGGCCTGTGCGCATGCGGGGTGCTGCGGTGGAAAAGAAGTGCTGCGAAACAGGGCCTGAGTGACGGGTGGGCCACTTTTGATGTCGGCGGCATCTGGAGCCGGCGGCGCCACGCGTATGTGCAAAGGCGCCGAGGTAACGATTGCCGCGGCGGCGATCTGGGTTGTGTCAAACTAGCCGACACGCCACGGGTGTGGGGCGCGCAGGCACTCTCGCAACCGGCCTGGGTCCTCAAACACGGGCGCCTCACTACAGACGCTGCTGAACGACGACACGATTGGGCCCCTAAACACCTGGGCCCCTCAGGGCCAAACGCCAGGCTGTGCGGCAACGCGTTCCAAGGCAGCGTGAGTGGTGGACTTGGAATTCAAACAACAAACGCCACCAGGCCCCAGGCAAACGTCACCAGGCGCCAGCACTCACTCGACGAGTTGCGGCCGTGGTGGATGATGCTCGCCACCAGCCGGTACCCCTGCGCCGCGCCCCGCCTGTCGGGGCAGTCCTCCGACAGCCACCCCGGCCGCAGCCGCAGCTGCGACGGGAAGGCGATGTGCTGGTGCAGCTTGACGGTGTTGCCGCGCTCGGCGTCGTACGCGAAGCGGTTGATGTGGAGCATCAGCATCTGCGATTGAAGGAGGCAGGGTGTCGAGTTGTGGGCTGTGAGTGGGCGGCCCGACGATGGGGGCAGGCATGCTGCGGGGCTAGCGGCTGCACTCTGAAAGCTGCCACTAAACGGCCGGTAGAGTGGTGACCGCCGTTGGGGGTGTCCCGAGTGATGCAAACCGCAGGGACGTGCAATGCATGCAGGCACTTGCATTGCACGTGTGCACACGCGCGCACACACACACACACACACACGCACACACGCGCACACACACGCACACACGCGCACACACACGCACACACGCGCACACACACACACACGCGCACACACGCACATACATACGTGAAACCACAAATACACGCACACGCGGCCGGATACGCACACGCAAACACATGAAGGCACGCACGCGCAGCACCATCCCCCTCACCTGCGGGAGCTTGTGCAGCCGGGTCACCTTCTCGGCCTCTGCTGGCACAGAGGAGCCCTTGACCTTGTAATCTGTGTTTGGACGAACGCACACGCACAGCAAACCGTCACCATATGTCCCCGTCAAACGACACGCCGCAAGGCGACAATTCATAGCCGAAATCGAGTCGCCCTGCGGCCCGCGAGGACACTCCGCCCGCTGCTCTAGTTCATGCCTGCACCCCGGGCGCCTGCACCCGAGGCGCCTGCGCCCCAGGTGCAGAAGGTCGCAGAAAGCCGGAGGGGCGCGCGCCCACCGCTGAGGTGCTCCGAGAGCGTGAGCACGTCGAGGGCGTCCTCCACGCTGCGCACGCCCGGCTGCTGGATGTCTAGGTGCAGCATGTAGAACGGCTGCAGCGTGATGCTCGGCTTGCTGGCGCCTGGTGGTTTGTTTTGGGGGGAGGGGGCGGGGAGGGGCACGCGTGGGCCGGCGGGCGTGCGAGTCTGCCGTCGTGCGAGTGTGCGCGCTCCGCGGGCGCCTCTGCCTGCTGCAAGCGCGCGTCGGCGGCCGCCCCGCCACGCCCACCGACGCCCACCTGGCGTGCGCGCCCGCACGGTCGACTTGAAGCTGCCCCTGAAGGCCGCCGCCACGACGCTGCTGCCGCCCAGGTCCTCGCGCCCGCGCACAGTGCCGGCCTTGTTGCGGCGGCCCACCACCTGCAGGCCCAGAAAAAAATGGCACAAGGTTGATTGTGTTCGTCAGGCCAACGGATGAGGCGGACGAGATACATAGGTGCAAAACCAGACGTGTGCAGGTGCCCCATGTTGCACAGATGCACCGCCGCGTCCGCACCTGGCTCCACTCCTCTTCCTCCTCCTCGCCGCCGCGCCCCTGCTGCTGCTTCCCGTCTCCGCCGTCGTCCCCGTCCGAGGGCACCTGGGGTTGCTGCTGCTGCCCTGCCGCCGCTGCCAGCGCAACGAGCTCTTCATGAGCGCGGTCAACGATGTGCTGCAGAAACTCCTGAAGTTGCATTGATTGATCATGTTTGTGTGTGGAGAGCGAGAGAAAGGGTGTGTGGGGGGCAAGTGCATGTAAAAAGGCAAAACTGCTGTCAACGGGGCGATGCGAGGGGCCACGGTCCAGCATGAGGATGCCGCACCACGGGGCCGGAGCTTGAGGACAGCCGTGAGAGGGTTGCATGCCACAGTGGGCGCTGTGCACTCACAATACAAGGCTCGGCAAGCGCCGCAGCTAGTCTCAAAAGCGGCAAGTCTACAAAGCGTCCACAATATACCCGCAGCAGGGGTCCTGCAACAGACACTCGTGGACTGTGGCGGCTGTTGCGAGCCCCACCTGCGCGTCCTCCTGCTCCTGCTCCACCCCGCCCGCCGCGCCCTGCAGCCGCTGCGCCATCGTCACCCGCCCCGCGCCCTGCTGCGCCGCGCCGCCGCCGCTGCCCCCGCTCTGAGGGCCCGCCGCGCTCGCGGCCGCCGCCGCCGCCGCCGCGAGCGCACTGGCGCGGCGGGGGCTGAATCTGGCTATCACATCATTGAACATTGACGGCATCAGCGCCGAGCCTCCCAACTGCAGCGCCGCGGCCTCGGTCTGGAGCCCTTGCCGCTGCGCCCCGTGCTGCTGATGCTGCTGCTGCTGCTGCTGCTGCTGCTGATGCTGCTGCTGCTGATGCTGCTGCTGCTGCTGCGCGGCGCCGGCCGGCTGTCGCTTTGCCCCTGCAGGCGGCGCAGCCGGCTTGGCGCCCGCCCCAGCGGCGTCCACGCTGTCATGCGCGCCGCCGCCGCCGCCGCCGCCACCACCACCGGACGGCTCCGCGGCCGCCGCCGGCGCCGGCTCAAAGTTCGAGCCAAACTGCGCCAGCGCGGCGAGCATCGGCGTCGCCGCCGCGTCCAGCGCCGGGCGCGCGCGGGAGAGCGTGTGCAGCAGCGAGCAGAACGCGCCGCTCGCCAGCAGCACCTGCAGCGAGCAATTCACAAAGCACGAGTTGCCGGTGTTGTACAGTCCGCGCGGCAGGAGGCGCAGCTGGGCGCTCGCGGACAGGGGGTCGTCCCCGCCGACCGCGGCGGCGCACAGCGCGCGCAGCGCGGCCGCGACCTCGGGGGCCAGGTCAGCGGGCGGCGGCGCCAAGGGAGCTGCCGCCTTGGCGGGCGGCGGCTTGGCGGCTTTTGCCTGTGCCGCGGGTGCCGGCGAGGACAGGGCGGCCGCAGTTGCTGCCCCGTCGGCCGCACCAGCGCCTCCGCCGCTGCTGCTGCTGCTGCTGCTGCTACTGCTGCTGCCGGCCCCGCTGCCCGCGGCGCCGTTGACACCTGCTGCTGGCGTGGGGGCCGCGTGGGCTTCCTGAGCCGCCGCAGGCGCCACTGACGGCGCCTCCAGCGCCGCCGCCGGCTCCTGAAGCGGCGTGGCCGCCGCCTTGCCGGCTGCCCCGCCGTCCAATGCCACACCTGGGGGCTGCGGCTGCGCCGCCGGCGCCGCAGCGGCGCCGGTCGATTGCCGTGGCGGCGGCCGCTTGTGATTTGGGCTGTCTGCCCGCTCAAAAAGTTCGCTCAAGTGCGCCGAATCCCGGAACGCACTCGCGCCCCTGCCGCGCCCGCGTCCGCCGATGTTTGCGCCACTCCCAGCCGCCGCGCCGCCGCGCCCCGTGCGGTCGCCGTGCCGGCC